CTGACACTTATTTGGGGTAGAGATAAAAGTGCTATTCAAAGTAGCATGTTATCTCCAGGGGGTAATTTGGGGAACTTAAAACAACCTTTCGTTGGGGGTAAAGGGGTGCTCACTTCATTAGTATCATGTCTTTCTGCATTGTGGCTTTCTTTGGGCTTGGGTCCGCGTGGAGAGGGGTTCAGATATTCTGAACAAGCCTCTCTCTCCTACAGAGGGGTTGTCACAAGCTCATACACTGCATGATTTCTCTTGCCTCCATCACATTTGTCCATTAAGCAGGGCTTCCCTTACCCACAGAGGTGGGTGGGGGCAGCAGCACTGGGGCTATGGCCGTGGTTCCTTTCATTTATTATTAGAATAAATCGTCAATGGTGGGACCTGAGGTAGAGATGGAGCCGCCTCAACCAAACCCACTTGGTTTCTTTATTGCACTGGTTCTCATGAGAAAGTGACTTAGTATTAATTCTTAAGATGTTCCAGCTTCCCCCAGCGCATTCCCTTTCAGCCAGCTTTGCTCTCTGCTTAGCAACCTGCCCATTGTCATTGGAGGGTGGCTTTGGGGGGAGCGTCATATCTTCCATTCCATCTCCTGCTTTAGGGAAGACAGTTTTTAGTCCAGGGGTTTCTCATCTGATGACTAGATTTCAAAGCCAAGATGCTGCAGTTGAATGTGTCAGGAAGTCTATACAAAGTATAGGAGAGACTTTAGCATGTGAACCAAATCAAAATAAATTCTTCCTGAACCATACAATAGAGGGGGGGAAAAAACCAATAATCAGACACACCAATTGCCTTGCAGTAGAAGCACTTTGGATGTATTTTCACTGTCCACCTGACTAGTTTTGCATAGAACCAACCACAGCAAGTCAGTAAGCAGAGCTTTCTATCTTGTTAGACCATTAGAAGCTATCCAGCTCTTGTAAACCTGCCTCTGCAGCATCACCCATAGAACTTTTGTACTATACCCGATACCGGGTTGGGAAGGCATTTCTTTCAGTGACCCTGCTAACTGCTAGGATGAATGTATAGTAACATGTACAGGCTACATCGTAAACAGCACAAAACAGAAGCTGACACGTGGTTATTCTTTTTAAGAGAATTATAAATACTGTAATATATCATTTTATTTTATTGGCATGCCTTTTTGTAAATACAAATTATTAACTTATTAAATAGGAAATGGCTTCTGGCTTATGCCATTGTCATGTTTATTTTTATTTTTTATACTTTTCTTTCTTCTTAGAACTTAGCTGCTGTCAGCCAATGTACATCCCCAAACCAGACAGACAGACAAAAAATTTTTTATCGCTAATGGTCTTTTCCAAAACAACAAAAAATATATATATTTTTGTTCCAATGTGCAATAAATTCTAACCACTTCTATGCAAGATCTGGCTAACCTTCATAATTGTTCTTAGGTCTTGAGATGGGCAACGGAACTACAAGATCCCACTCGGTACCCCAAGTGCTCATGCTAGTGATGTCATTAAGCTACTAGAGAATATGAATGAGGTTTTTCTGAGCTCTGACCTGTTTCCTCCCCCAGACTCTGACCCCAGCCCAGCAGGCTGTCTCCTCAGTCACACACACATGAGCCTTGGTATCTGACACCCATCAGCCAGCTTCACAGGGAAGAAGCCACCTCCACTCTGTTTGAAGTTTCACTTTTTCTTTTTAACTTTTCCCACCTTCTTTTCCCTCCCCGCCATCCCTCCACCTACTCAGTCGCTCGCTCACTCTCTCACTCGCCCGCCCCGCTCCACACTTCTTTGGTAGTAAATGACACCATCACCAGCAGTTTACACCCGCAGTTAACAGGCATTGAACTGAAAGAACCAGTGATGACGTTTTTGTATGTCTTCACTGAGTGGGTAAGTGGCAACGCTTTGCCAAATATTAACGAAGCCAATCAAAAAGCAGCAGCAGCCACAGTATCACTGCACATATATATATATATATAGATA